TTGCTCAAACGAGCCACAAAGACCACCGCACCCATGTTGCCCGCCGAGTCCTTTGGCAAGTCAAACACAAAGTCCATACTCATGGACCTCTGGTAACCCTAAATGACCGCGGATTGGATAAAAATATCGTCAGGAAATGGGACCAATAAAAGCTGAACAGTATAGGAGAACAGACTAACTTAGCCAAGCAAGTTGATTAGTCTTTCGTCTAAAATTTTCAATATAGACATCCTTCAAGTGAGCTATACGACCGCTCACCAAATAGAAACGTTGTGTAATCGATCAACAACTATGGCGTCCGGATACACTAAAGCTTGCATAATAATACCCACCAAATGTGCAGGAATTACCGTGACGTAACAGTATGCAAAACTATCAACTAATGACTCGGGCCGACACCGAGCCCGCCCCGCTCGATCTGAATCGTGCGTATTGCCATCGTCGACACATTAACGTAATACGCAGCAAACTGATGTGGAAAGGGATGTTGTATGTCTGAGCTCGTATGTAAGAATGAGCGTCTTTCTGCAGCGGCACGCAGTGGATAACGAACGACTTCTGGCTTACTATTCGGCACGTCCTTTTATTAATCACATAATCAAATATGATGATGGTGTGGCCGGCTGTATTGCTCTTCGCGTCGTTCTGGTCCACGTTACAGTAAATACAATTCGTCGACGTGATTTTACTCCTTGCAAATTGCAGCAGGCTTAACAAACAAAACGCAACCTACAGCTTTACAGAGACGGTATAAGCGGTCAGCAATACTGCAGCTTGCACAAAAGAGCGTATCAAATTAGTGCGCTGATGGACATTGTTCGATGCACGCAGGCAAAACCAAAATATTTGCTTCCGTCATAGCGAGTAATGGCGGATTTATACTCAACGGACCAAAGTCTTGATCAATTTTATCAAATAGAAAAACGGTGACAACCACATCATGTTTAAGAACAGACAGCACTGATTTTTGGCTTATTTTCTCGCTGCCGACTCAATTTTGACTTTTCATTGCAAGCCTTTTGTAAAGTGACTTTAACGCTTCTCAAGATCAATCACGACTGGGGACCCCGTAATGTGTACGGTTCAAGGCCATCTATCATAACATCGCGGGTTCCATGGTACGCTGCATTTTTTGCAAAACTCATGTTTGTTTTTTATGCTTGCAGTTGCAGACTTAGTATGATTTAATATATTTATGCTAAGATGCCATCATTAATGAGAAATGTAAGCGTGGGCGTTGCAATAGATCTGATAATGATCCGTTCGTCATTGGCCAATTAACATCAAGCGCACTACTTTATGCGTTTTTCCTAACTGTTAAATGGCTCTTCTTGCTGATGTCATCATATGTCATTTTCCTCTCTCTGACTCCGTTTCCAGCTTCATGCAAGCTACACAGGAAAATGGATTGTATCACGCTTGCGGCACGTCTCTTAATCTAAGACGGCAGCTTTGAACCTGTCAACAAGCCATACACACCTCCACTGTCTATGAAGGTACCGTCAATCCCTCGCTATCGCTTTCCATCATGATGAAATTCCTAGTTTGACTGTTCAGCAAATTCTAACATTGCTATTCGTGAGATGGTAAGCTTCTACGAACGTTTGACAAATGAAAAGAATACTGCTAGTATCAAAACAGATAATAAATCTTGTCCAGTGGCTCTTCTTCTTCAGCAAATACTTTGTCTATCTTGAAGCGATACTGAATATTAAGAAATGTCGAATTTTTTGGTCCAATCATTTTCTAACTTAGAACACAGGAAACGTGGCAAATCCTGCCACACATAGAGACGAACGGCTTGCGCGCTAAGAGTCGTCCGACTCGGGCTCTGCCCAGAATAATCTGCCGCTTGAAGCAGTAAAAGTTGTCTCGAGGTCACAACGTCTGCCCATACCGCTTAAAACTACCACCACACGGCCTTAAGGTTTCACGTCCCTCTAAGTTCATCATCAAATATTTGCAGTTCGTGAATTCATACTAATAATTTTTGACCTTTCGTTATTTTTCATCTTCAAAGCATTCATCCTAAATGTATCTCACTCTTAGAATAGCAGGGCAACTTAGGAGACGAGTTAGTCGTAGAGACACTTTGTCTAACTCCTGGGTCGAGCGTATGAGCTCAACCTTTGCGTGTTCTCAAACGCGGGCTCATTGAATCGCAGCTTTTTTCGTGCAAAGTACACGGCAACTCCGTTGCACATGGTTTGTTTAATATAAATATTGGAGCAGTATCGATTCGTCGAAAAAGGATCAATTTCCATTTAGGTACGAGTGTTTCATAGCCATCAAAAACGACAACAAACCGAAGATGGAGTGCGAGATGGTCCTCCTAGCCATGCTTCCCGAAAAGGAAGGCGTAATTCTAGTGCAGACGCCTCGCGTACGCACTATTGCAGAACTGGAAAATTTAATTGTCGATGAATATTCGCGCGTGTTTCCGCAGCTGCCACCGCTCAGCCGAAACTTGCGGATACAGAAGTGCGTGGCACTAGAGTTAGTGCTGGACCGACGCGCACACACTACAGCACGCCAGCAAGCACCTCATGTCTTTGTGGATCTTGCCAAAAACGTTCAGATCGGTAACGTGTTTCAAAATATGGAGCAAATCTATATCGTGGTAAACGAATTGGAGCAGCTAACACATCCAGCAACCGTTAGGAAGGCGACAGATCTGCACATTGCGTCGACCATCGCAAAATCCTCTGTCCAAGGCTCTGGGGTGGTAGCTACAGATACACATATCAACAGGGAAGATGCCGTGGAGAAGATGGCTTCGAAGAAGACTGCTGCTGAAAAGAAGAAGCGAACATCGAAAAAACTAGCTTCGGACAGCGAAAACCGGATTGTCACAAAGAAAACTGATGAAGTTGAGAATAACTATACCAGGACGATGACTGATGAGGCAATTTCAGCGTCCAAAAAGATCTCGCTGAAATCTGTGAAGACAGTCGCGGGGTCAGAAAGCTATGATAAATCGAATGTTGTCGCTGAGGAAAAGCACGGAAGAAATGGGCTGAAGAAACATCGATGTAAGATGCCGAAGTCGGTTGAAGAAAATTACGGTCTCCAATTGACGACAAAGACTACGGTAAAAGACGTAGGAGATGTTGCAGAGAAGACGAGTAGGTCGACCAAGGTGACAGAAGATAAGAATTCTCTTTCTCCCAGTGGTTCCAAAAAGGCCATTTCGAAAAAGAGTGAAAACGCTCTCCTGAAGAAGATGCTTGCAGCAAAGCACGATGCAGCTTCATCGGGCGCAGCTTTGGTTGCAAATTCTCTTTCACATGGTGGAAGTGATGTGGCACCGAAAGCGCCTTTTAACAGCGAGAAGAAGCGCAAATCTACTTCCCTAGATACCTCAAAAGCAGATATCACGTCGAATTCCTGTAAATCCCCAGCCAAGAAGAAAAGAAAATCCGAAGTGATAAAAACTAAGGTAAATCGAGCATCAAAGGTGATAGATGAAAATATGAGCGCAAGATCGACCAAGATCAAGGGAGCAGCTGAATTGCGAACAAAGGCTACACCGACCAATATGTTTGAGTCTGAAAAGGGTTCGAAAAAAAACATGGCTACAAAGGTATTGGTGAAGGCCAACGATGACTCGTCTACTGCGAGTGAATCAACTTCTCCAACTTCTAATTTGAAGAAGATAAAGAATGATGCAACCAGACCAGTGACCAAACGTGCAAAGAAACCTGTCACAACAGCAATACCAGCTGACAAAAAATCTGAATCGGTGGCAAAGGTGTCTAAAATATCCAAGGGCATTGGAAGTGGTACGATTTCTACTCCAAATGATGTGTCTAGGTCCAGCCCTAGACTGTCCACCCTGTCGACTCAGGCAGGCGAGCTGATTACTGGTCAGGAGCCGGAAAGTGGTAATAGGCCTGCTCTAAAAGCCACAGCTGTCCGTAGTGCTAAGCAGGATTCGCACGACGAAATTACGAGCGAGGGCCCAAAATCACGATTTCAAACAATTTTGGAAAAGACGAAAAAGCGACTCGCTCAAGAGAAAGAGGCTAACGACAATATTCAGGGAGAGTGTGCTGAAGCGAAGAATATTGGTGGCAATGTTAAAGAGACGTCGAACTCTGCCAGAAAAATGTTAATCCAATCTTTGTCGGACTCAGATGCTTCAGTTGGTGTCAAAGTAACAAAGCGCTTTTCAAAATTTGCTGCACCTGTTGAGAGTAGTTCATCGTCGTCTTCGGACGACGACGAACTTGCTTACTCCCAAGGCCTTCTGGCCGATTTGACCAAGAACGGTTAGGACATGTGCTGCTAAATCGACGGTTCAATGTTATCGAAGAACTCACGCTTGTGGTAAACATGTAGATACGGGTGAAGAATTGTTGACGCCTGTGCTTGCTAAAGAAAATAAAAATTCAAAAAAGGAGAATGTTAACTGCGTTGTTTCATTGCAAGAACAAGAACTGCCACAGAATATGCTTTCGTCGGACCTACCGCAAAAATGTACGTGTGTTTATTCGTATCTAAGTGATTCTCGCTAAGAACAAAAGAGAAATTTCTTTTCGGCATCAATTCTCATTACATCATTTTACAGTGCACGAGTCGAACAGCGTTTTACTTCCGATCCTCACGCGAAATCAATTTTCTATCGGCAAATTATCCGTAGCAAAGCTGAAAAAGTCATCCAAGAATCCGTTCTCGTCGCTTTAAAAAGCGACTATCAAAATGGCACCGCCACTTGTTGCCCACCTAGTTGTCCTCGTAGAAAATATATAATGGAAAGGTATCGACCACAAGACTGAACAGAATTGAGTCGGGCTAATGAATTTTTAACTTCTTACCTGATGGTTGCCTACAGCCTGATGAACCCTTAGGGTAAAATGCCATTTGTCATTCGCTGAAAAACGTCGTACTGGCGGGTTCGATAGCTGTTGTGACTTCGACGGACGAGACTAATCACATGCTTGATGACCTGACTCTGGTCGTATTCAAGGCGTAAAAGTTGCTTGGTTGCGCTTAAAATCTCTCGCGGATTCTGTGTTAAGAAACATGGGCAAGACGATTCTTGAGACATAATTGCGATCATCATTAGAATGGTATCGGCGTGTTGCTGCATAAAATAAAATTGCACAATCATTCAAGGTTAGCATGATCCATCAAGCTTGACCATTAACATTACAAAACCTGTAAAGCCAAAAAACCTTGGATAAGAAAAATGACGTAGGCCTTGAAGTAGTCCGACTGAGTTCCTCCCATGGCATCAACCATCTCTCCCGTCAGCTTGAACGGTGCCGTTTCCAGGCTAAACCGGCCGCCTGGGGCGATGCCGAGGATAAAGCCAAAGTCTATGTGGATGACATGTCCATCGCTATCAATCATGATATTGCCGTTGTGCCGGTCCTTTATCTGCAAAAGGTAACATACCAAGGAATACGCAGCCATGCTTCGCACGAAATTTGTCATGACCGTCTTGTACGCGGCAGAATCCGCTTGGCCATATGTCTTAGTAAAATGATCCGCCAGCGTGGTGTAGTTGCTTTTTTTCTTTAAACTATCCAAAGATACTGCATTCTTTACGTACCCAATCAAGCCCGTAGACGCTGATGTAGCAATAATCTCGTACGGCAACAATCGAAGAGGCAGGTCCGCGCTTTGAAATATGTCCTGAAGCTGACGAATGATCTGCTGACACAACGCTTCCTGCCGCAAGTCATCATTAGACTTTACAATGAAAGCGACGCAATCCCAACTTTTCAACTCCGATCCCACATTGTAAGAAGACGTTTTTCGCAAGCGCTTCTTTTTCTCTTCAAAACTTTCTCCGAATGTCGACTCCACCGCAAAATGCAGACGTTTTTGTTTGTCAATGACGTATTCGTATACAATATTCAGCTGGTCTTTTAAAAAATTTAGGTCTTGCCCAAGTTGGACACAATTTTGCACGCTCTCTTGTGACAAAACATGCTGCAGCATTGCTAGCTCAATTGATTTCATTGCCTCGATAGCTGCGTCAGGCTTAAATTTTGACAGTAGCGAACTACTTTGAAAATTTGAAGCAACTGAATGTCTGTCGTCTGAGGAGCCTGAGAGAAAGTCATTAAATTTATTCGGAGCCCTTAAAGAAAAGTTTAGAGCGCATTCCACTGACGCTTCTGTCAATCTTATATCTATGACATCAGCCATGTCGGCAATGTCCGCTTTTGTCTCATAAGATTTGACTGTCAGACGTGAGGAGGGGCAAAGAGAAAGAGATTCCGGTGTAGCTGCTTCCGAAACCGTTGAACGGGGATGTTGCTCTAAAGTGGGCGACATTTTGAATTGCAATGCGTGTCGAGGCACTTCAGATTGAGATATTGAGTTTATTTTCAATTGATATATTGTCGCATCATCAGCAGCGAATCCACTAAATGAACTAGATGTCGATGGCGTCATCTCGAGAGCACCGCAGCGAAGCATTTCACTTCCGAGCCAGAGCGCGTGGGCTTTATTCGAGACAATATCATTTTTAATCATCCAACTGACAATTTTTTTCCCTGTAAATGTAACGCGCCCAGCGGGGTGACTCTCAGACATATTTAATTCCATGTTCTGAGCCATTGAGATCAACTGATCGTAAGTGAAATTTTCAACTTCTTTCGACGTGACGCCCGGATCAAGATTCAGCATCGACTCTGAGTTGCTAATCCCCGATCCTTCACTTATTGAGCGCTTTCGTCGACTTTTAATCGTGTCAGCGCAAGATGCAATGATAGAGTCCAGCGACTTTGTTGTCGAACCTATAAGCGATCCTGAGCGGACACGATGACTGTATTTTTTGATACCACCAACTGCTCGAGCAAGAGTAACCAGCGAGGCTGGAGGATCCGAAGAAATGCGTTCTCTAATAATTTTCATTCCGTTGCTGACTGCTAATTCAGCACCAACTGAAGTATTTGACCCATCGTACTTGTCGTTAAGATTAATATTGTCTTGTTCATCTTCGTCTCCCGAAAAGGTATCCAGCGCAATCACTTGAGCAATATCGCTACTCGTTGCCAATTCGATGGCATTTTCTGCTACCACACTGTCGAAAGCAGTTGTAAATCTGTTCACATCGAAAACCCCACCGGAATCGCTTAGTTTGTCACGATGAGTGCTGAATCTGCGTGATCGACTGCGGTGAAGCCATGCGCTTGCTGACTTCAATTTCGCAACTTCAAAAAAAAAAAGTGTTGGCGCTCGAGCCCTAGTCGTAAACACCGTTCCTTCTTCTCGAATGGTCGCAATAAACTGCTGCAGTGGAATTTCACAGGAGCCTAAAGGGCAATAAGCTCCTTCAAGCAGTTGTAGTTTCTGCAGTTCATCCTTCAATGCCTTCTTGCGCTCAAGAGGAGAGCAGAATCGTAGACGTTCAGTCATAGCACAAAGCTCTCCGATAAACTTAATTTGAGTCGTAAAGATCTGACGCTCCATTGTATTATCGCGATACCAGTCCCGTAGAGACGTATCGCTTGCTAAAAATGTTTGTGGGATGGAGCTTTCACTCATGGCATCACAAATGGCGCCGAGCGAAATGGGGATTTTCGAATTCGTGCGAACGAGGATGATCAAGCGATCAAAGAGGCACTTAATGATAGCAGCTTGCTCTGGCGTCGCTGGTAAATCCTGATCTGGGTGAAAGGACCAGTCGCCTTGAAAAATTTGCATCTCAACGTTAATCATTAGTAGCTTGCACATGCACATCTTTCGATAGAGGCAATCGGGGATGTACAGTTCCGACTGTCCAAAGCCCCAACCACAGCTATCGTCGATAGCTGCGCGGGTAAGCCAGTAAACAGCTGTCGCGAGGCGAATATGTAGCTGAGTCGCATAGCAGATTGCTCGAAACAATAGTGCTGCTTTTATATTGTTATTTGCCCAGTCTATCGTGAGCCAAATCTGAAATATTTGGGGTAGAAAGAATTCAAAATCCGCTAAATTTGTTATAGACAGTTCCAAGAGTTTGTTCACAGCATGAGCGTAAGCTTCATCGCACCCATAACGATGTAAATGAAGCACTTGAATTACGTCCGAGACACCGAACGTGTCGTCTCGAAATATCGCAAACAATACTTCGACTTCGTCTTCGTCAGCCTGAGTCAAAGCTGGTTCCAATATACCTACTTCTCCATGTTGAACAATATGAAGACGTTGAAGTAGCATTCCAAGCCACAGAGTAAAATGCTGGACCCGGTGGCATCCCATGCATAGGCGCACAGCGTGATTCATGTGGAAATGCCGAAGAGTAGCGAATCTTGCGCTGTGATCCGAGCACACAGATCCGCCACAATTTCGACAGTGATGTTGCCTCTTTCCAGTGCCGTCAAATCGGACAAGACAACCATAGTGACAGCACGTCACGTCATTTTTAAACTTAGGCGGACTGCATTTTCTATCGGCAAACGTGATGCCTCCAGGAGAAAGTTTCATGATGTCAGGGTCTACTAAGGCACGTGCACTCCATTTCTCTACTGCAGCATTCGTTCCTTTCAGCGCCTTTTCGATATAGTCGATCCACTGACATTTGTCCTCCTCTGTGTCGGCGTCCACGTTGAACACAATGCCGGACGTTAGCGATAGCTTGAAGGAATAGCGGTAAGTATGCCATAAACCCTTTCCGTCCCACGATTCCACCTTCTGCACTTCAGCACTATATAGTGCAGCGATCATAGCTGACGCTGCATCCCGAGACGCAAATCGCGAGAAGTTGATGCCCACACATCGGCAATAGTAACGTTTCATACGGTGGTAAGTCACTCCTTCATCACGCAAGCTTAAATAACCCTTGATACCCAGCCCATCAAGCTCGACGCCGAGCGGACCAAGCAACTCCATGGATGATGACGCGCTACCGGAAATGGAAGGACTTATGGTATAAGTCGAACTGCAGCGCTCGGAATCGACCACTCGCGTAAGCGTTGAGGAAGATCCAGTAGCTGCGGATTGCATATTACAGACATTATCGGCGCTGCCCAATGATTCACCGCCTTCTGCAGCTGACTGAGTATTAGGATCTTCGGTCATACTATTTTGCTGTCAGAGACAACTAGTTTGTGAAAAAAGGCAATGATGGTCCTCACACCACTGAAGTTGCCTCAAGATTGTCCGTGATGCTACCTCGACGTTGGCAGAGACAGAGAGGAAGTGGGCTCAGTGTGAAGGCAAACGCTTGATTGTAAATGCTTTTGTGGTTCTTGCGGGGTAGGTTAAGGTAGCTTGCTAACTACTTTTCGATATTTTCAAGGCGTCTTTTCCTAAAACCATGCGTAAATTCAAACAATATCACACAACAAATCGTAGCCAGAAAAGCTTTTCATTACAATACACCCTGAGTGCATTAATTAGCTGATTGCCAGCCGTGTGTGGTGTGCATTTATATATATTTGAAAATAGTTGCTCACATTAGACTCGTCCCAGCGCAATCGTGAGGGCGCGCATCTGGTCTAACATTTAAGAAATGTGACCTTTATCGGAAGACCCCATGTGCAAATTAATAGGTATCACAACAGGGTTGTCGTGGCCCCTTGCAAAGAAATATATGATCTAAAGGGTCCAAGGATCCATCATTTGCATTAAGTTACTGCTTTTTATAAGATAATTGAGCCAGCGCGATGAATAAAGAATCCCAGACAAGTCAATTATAACGGAGAAGTACTGTTTGGCAGTAAATAACGGCTCAGGCAATTTTCTCCAGCAATGTTTATAAAGGAGCTCAAACCATGGACCGCAGCGTCATTAGCATTGCGCTCTATGTACGACTGCTCACGGGCACACAATCACCCGATAATTATACAAAGAAAACATTCGTTAGGCATCAAAACACCAAGGCGCTAGTACATTTACATGCGTCGATACAATCAGGGGTGTCAAAACAATCAGGTGTATCAATGCTAAGCAATCATTATTTTTACTTACAAACCAGTTACTTCACACAACTCCACAAAGATCTTTTGCATTGTGATGATTAATTACATTCAACAGCAATGAAGGTGACATCACACTGATTTGAATATCCGGCTACTATTTCGAGCTGGAAGTCATATTTGCGTGCGTTAAGTATAGTTCACCTTTATTTGCATCACATTACCATCTTAGGATTAAAAAAGAATCCCGAACAAGTCAATTATAACGGGGAAATAATTTGTCCATATTTCAAGCTCGTGTATGACCATTGCTGTAGAAAATTAATTGAGCCGTAATGTACTGCTACAAATTACCTCCCCGTTATAATCGACTTGTGTAGAATTCTATTTTTATCGTTATATGTCGTGCTAGCTGAATTATGTTACAAAAGGCAGTTACGTGATGCATATGAAGGCGGACTCTACTTACGCATGTAAATAAGACTTCTAGCTGTAAATAGAGCCGGATGTACAAAACAGTGTGATGTCTCCTTTATTGCTGTTGAACGTAATTAATTATCACAATGTAAAAGATTTATAGTGTAGCTGTAAGAAGTAAGTGGTATGTGAGTAAAAATAATGATCGCTTCGAGAAGCAGCGTATCATTGATACCTCATTGTAGTGACACCCCTGATTGTATCGACGCCTGTTAATGTGCTAGTAGCGCCTTGGTGTTTTGTTGCTTAAAAGTTTTGTTAGTATATTCATCGTGTGATTGAGCGGTCGTGTAGGTAAATCGAAAGTTTGTCTATATTATGGTTTATAGACGTTATGAATTCTCAGTTGTATCTAGCTAATATTATACACTATACAGTATTAACTCTAATATACAATCTAATGATACGTAAAGAAAAGAATTTGTGGGTACATCAAATTAATATCCTATGATCAAATATCAAAAGATCAAAAGGCGGCCGAGGGGCGTGATTCCTTCTGGGGAGCCTAGGTGAACCCCAAACACTAAGTAGCTGCTTCCCAACTTATACAATTGCAGGACTTAAACCCTCACTCAACAGATTATAGCCAGCACAACAAATCACTGAGCCAGAATTCATACTCAAAATTTGATGGGTAAAGTTCAATACTTATACGCACATTCTGAGATTGAAATACACTCAGAAAGCCTGCCCAACAATATATAAGTTGCCTCGCACATCCTTCATATCCAACTCTTCCATGTAAATTTTCATTCACTCTTTTTGTATCTCCACTCACTCATTTCCGCGTATCTTCACTCGCTCATTTCTTCGAATCTTCACGTATTCGCTGCATATTTTCAATCACTCATTCCGTCGTATCTTCATTCACTCACTCACTCTATCGCATGCAAGTGGTCAAATGGGACACACTTGAGAAGCTTGGAGCCATTATTGTCGCCGTCCGTGTTCTTGCCGCTGCTAATCATGTTATCACGGTGGCTAGACGGTTGTGCTAATCGGGTATGAGTGCGTCGATCTGCCTCCACCAGAAACCATCACTATTCCCCCACTACCCTTAACCGGATCATCATTCTAGCCCGCAGAGTAAAGCTAGACTTCTAGGCGGCGAAGGTGGCTCGGATGGGTGGGTCTGGGAGGGAAGTTAGTGTGCCGTGCTGATGTGCCGGGTTAGCTTGCGCAGGAGCAAGAAATTTGGAAAGTGACACGTGGCTGAGATATTCCCTCCAATAACTTTCACATATTATACCCTCTGTAATATGATTCTAAAATATTGTTTTTCTATGCAGGTTTCCGATAATTTGTGATACCAGGAAAGCGATTAGCAATGTCATCGAAGGCCGGGAGTGGCTAGAAGTCTCCTTTGCATGCTGGCAAAAAATACCAATGACATAAGAATCCCGCACAAAGCAATTATAGCGAAGAAGAATTTTGTTGGCAGTACCTAACGACTCAGGCAAATTTCTCTAGCATTGGTCATCCAGGGGCTCGAACCCTGGACCGCAGCGTTATCAGTACTGTGCTTTGCCGGTTGAGCTATACGACTATAGACCCGGTGACGTGGGTCAAGTGTTCACTGCTTCTGAGCCTAACGGTGTGTGTTGTGGGTTTGAGTCCCTCAGCGGACGAAATTCATAATCAAACCAGACATGCAAGAAATGTCGGCTGCATGTTAAATATTACCGACATAGCCAAAAAATGGACTTGGGGATGGCGGCTCGTACAAGAAAAAAGCAAGAAAAAAATGTCCCAGAGGAAAGAAGCGATGTAATTTCTTAGTCAGGGCCGAGTAGGTATAGCCGTGTAATAAGTTAATACATAGTAAATTTCAGCTGAGCTGTCCGACCACTTCTCAATTTGCCAGCTACCCCACAAGTAAATTCATAAGAGGAACCCCATCCCTCCTTCTCTGCATCTGCTGCCGCTGTTTCTTAACCCATGAATTCATTGGTTGTCCATCACACGTCTTTCCCGGTCGTCCATTCGTAAATCCCTATCGTGTCTCCAATTGTCACACTAGGTGTCGACGTTGGATCCGAAACCAGTCTCGCACCCTGTCGCAAGGGCGGCCTATCTCCATCTGGAAATTTGGAGAGAGCTATTCACCTATAGGTGCTTCATCAGTCATTCAATCCAATTTGCACGAGCGCCCCACCGGCTCGGCCCATCTAATCCCATCTCATTCTTGCGCTCCTAAGTAGCCTCCCTTTTCTGGACTTTTCGTGCCATCTGCACCAGTGCTTGCTGAATCTGGATCCCCGAACGGTGGAGGACGCGCGTCTGACGCTGCAGTCGTCGCTAGTACTGCTGCTCCGGACGACGATCCGATGGAGCTACCGCCCGTAGATACTGCTTCACCCGCACCTGTCGACGCGCATCCGACGATGGCTGAGCTGTTACAAAGTCAAGAGCTTATTTGGCGCGATTAAGCCGTATTCGACGCCTGGCTCAATCGCAGATAGACACCCAAGCCGCTCGCTTGTGACATCGAATTGATCGAGCGCCTGTACGCTGCCGGGCGTGACTGGTCGTTTGTCACCTAACGCATAGATCAAGCGCGGCCTTATGAGTTGTCTAGGCACGCTATAACATGGTAATTGAAACGAGACGCTTCTTCGCATAGACTCCATTGCAGAAGATCATGGCATCGCTGACTAGATTGCACTACGGCAACGACGCGCTTGAGAAACTGTAAGTAGAACACGGGATTGGTCAAGTGTCGAAACTCCCTGATGGGAATCTTCGCGACAAGGTAAAGACCAAGGAAGCTCGCTTACAGCTTGAACGCACGAAGATTAATATCATTGGTGGTGTGTTCATCTTCAAGAAGTTTGACATCCTCGCGGGCAAATATTTCTCGGACATCGCGAACGTCGACTCAAACACGAAACCGCACACGATCCTGCATCGGCTCTTCAGCATCGGGTGCAAGCCGGTTTATGACACTGACACGTTCCGCGAACATGACAACTGGCATGAACTCGGCGACGTGGCGCGAGTACTTCCTCTCGATCACGTGTCCTCCGCCGCTTGTAGTGAACGGCTCAGTCTGTGACCAAATGCTGTTCACAAAAAACTACACCCAGCTCACGAAAAAACGCGCCGTACTAGTCCGAGCGTTTGCTATACGGCTACCGCTCGCTGCACGATATTGACCTGCTCACGAATCCCGCGTCCGGATCCTCTGGCCGAGCCGTTGCCGTCGCAGAAGCCGAAAATGCCGAAAAATCAGTCAAAGACGCCCGCACAAACAAAGCCGATCGGCAAGCCGTTGACCTCGCTGCAAAAGGCAGTCAAAGGGACTAAGAAGCGCAAAACGTAGCTCCACCACGAAGCTCCACATGGCTTACCTACTGGTGTCATCCAAGTTGCCCCAATTTCGAGTGACCGAAACGACGCGCTCTCAATCTCGACGTGCGATAACTCAAATGGTAAGATCTCACCGTTCGACAGTTCTATGGGTACGATAAAGGTGCCGCTATTGCTTTTGACAAATGGCGACAGCTAGGACGGTTTCTCGATGGCCCAGAACAAGAAGAAGCGTAGCCTAGCTGATATTGATTTCACGGCCCTGCTTGCAGAACTGCAGCCACAGCCGCTCAATGGCATAGCAACTACAAAATACTTTCAGGTGTTTTAGTCAATGGATGTCTATTTTGTGGTTAAGGACGCCACTGCAAACAAGTGACACGGCGCGCTCAAGCAGATCGTATCGGTAAATGTGAAGCGACCCGATACAATAAATACCTCATCTAAACCGGCTTTCTTCGTTGATAAGCACCACACGAGAATCAAGAAGGCGACGAAGACAACGCCGATTCTCGTGGTAACCGAGTCGATGACTAACGACGAGAATACTGCACTGCTTGACACGCTGTCTGACAAGTTTGATAAGAATGATGATTTGGAGTCTAGCATGGTCAAAGCGATTGAAAATGCGTCAAACCCGGATCATATTGTGAAGTCGGCTGCTGCGAATCCGCTCGCGTTTAATAGTGCGTTTTTGCTTGCGATGACAGGCAACGGCAGATTGATCGGCGATCTCGCGAAGTTGCACTTGATCAACCGTGTGATGAGCGCGACGTATCCCAGCAAAGACACGACGTTTTTGACGAAGTGAAAGCGTATCATGGAGATGTCAGCACCGGCAAATCGCCTTGACATCGTCAAGGCGTGTACCAGGTGGTGGGTCCATACGGACGAAGTCACGGAGCTGTCACGTGCGTCGAAGACGCTCGGCATATTCGAGCTTGCGCTCATGTCGATCGCTCCAATACTGTTGTAAAATGATTCAGTACCTCACTGGTTAACCGGTCGAATAACTCCCAGCACATCACTCGCGCTTCCTGCACCCGAACACACTACTGCTTTTGCTGCGGTCGAACATCTGATTGCTCTACATCAAGCAGTGTCGAGAACTGCATTGGCAGGGGCATTTGCTTGATGATTTGGAAGCGCTGCGCAAGATCAATGGCTGTTACCCGGTCGATCATCGGTGCTAAAGCTTCAGGTAGACACTGATGGTCTGGTGGCTCCAGTGTCGGAAGGCTTGCTCGCTCGCTACTAAAGTTTTCTCGGCCGTACAACACGCCTGGAACACCGTTTCTATGATGACGGTGAACACGAATGGTGTCAAGAAGAACGGAAATTTCCTAATCAACAACCTTCTTTCTCACCGCTGGATATCGTGCGTCCAAGAAACGTTGTTATGCGACGCACAGCATCTTTCGACCTTCAGCTTTCATCTCAGCTCAAGCTTTAGATAAAAACACTTCCAAACGAGCTGCTAGATCAACCCACGAGTGGTCGCGTCCTGACGCTTCTACGCTCTGATCTTCCCGGCTTTAATACGGATGTTCATCTATCGCGTCTATCAGTGCCGGGACGCAATCTCGCTGTGAAATTGATGGTCAAACTCGCTCCGTCTACATTCACAATGTATATGCACCCGTCGATCGATAAGAGAAGCAGAAGTTCTTTGCGGTTCTGCCAACCAACGAGCTCGAGGACGACGCGATGCACTTTGTAATCAGTGAATTGAGCACAGCCTCGACCAAATATTTGATTGATCGAAGCCCGATCTACGCCACGACTCTAGTCGCTCCAGCTGTCTGGGGTGGCTCGCAAAAATCTGCGTGGTCGATGCGAGGCGCACCCATTTTAACGTCAAACGCGTGTTCACCGGTCCACTCCCGCGGAAGAATTGGCTTGACCACACCTTGATGCCAGATGAGTTCTGCGACCATTACTATGATAAGACCGAGTACTTCCTGCCCAAGCACGCTGGTGATCACCTTACGCACAGCGTCTCGCTTCACTCGAGCACGTAGCTCCACGGTGCGAGGGTACTGGAAGTTTCCCCGCTACCTGCTTGACTAGTTGAATGTCGTCTCTGCGATTGAGAAGGAAGCCGAGCTCTGGAACTATTTCGTATTGCTGAAAACCCCGGCAAAATTTAGGAGACTTGGAAGGTAAGCATTAAGGCACAGTTACAAGAAGTTCATAAGATGCTACGACGGCAAGAATTGCAAAATATTGAAGCCGCCCGTATCGCATTGAACCAAGCCGCCCGTATCGCACTGGACCAAGCCGCCTCGCTTTATTGCGTATCGACGAACGAGAACAACTTTGACCTCTCCAAAAAAAGCGATACGTTACTTCAAGGAGACGGTGCTAAGATAAGCCAATACATCCCAGACAGTGCATTCGACTTCAGAGCAGCAAACTGCGAACGTTCAGCAAGTCTTCTTCTGTCCAGTGGACACAAGTTTACGGCGTGTTTCGATCGAGGGAGTCGTGACATCGAGTGGAGATGTCTCGACGAACCCTCACGAAAACTTGCTGCCCTTCACTGAGCATTGGGGCTCCAAGATGGGAAATGCCAATAGTCCGACTTGTATAACGCCTCCACCCGACGACGGCAAACAGCTTCTTGACTCAGTCTTGCGTTTTGTCACAGACTCCGACCTTGAGATACTAGACGCTGAGCTGACGACAGCAGACCTCGCTTGTGCGATCGGCCATATGAAGGCGACATCATCTCCAGGTATGGATGGCTTGACTGCTGGATTCTACCAAGTGGCACCAGACGTGTTTGACGAGTGCTTCGTAGTCATCTTCAATGATCGACTTCGACGCGGTAAGCTCCTAGTGTCTCAGCACAAATCTGCGGTAGTATTGATACACAAAAAAGGTTTGCGTACTGAGCCAGGTAACTACCGACCAATCGCGCTCGTTGCAGTCGACTTCAAAATGCTGTCGAAAGCGCTAACGTATCGGCTACAAAATGTGATTGTCAATTTGATTCATCCGGATCCGAAGGGTTTTGTCAATGGTCGATCAATCCATCATCACGTGCGCTTTCTCGCCGACTTGCAAGATCTTGTCACGAACCAAGACAAAGAGGCGTATGCAATGTTCTTGGCCTTTCAAAAGTCGTTTGATCGCGTCAATTGGGCATACATTTTCCGACTGCTGGTGCGCATGGGCTTTGGAAAAAAGTTTGTCACTTATATCCAGCTACTGTACACCAAGCCAAAAGCCACCTACTTATCAACGGCAATATCCAGCCGGCCATACATCCCACACGCGGCGTAAAGCAAGGCGATCCCGACCACGCCATCAATGGCATGTAGCGACTGCTTTGCAACGAGAGCAGTACTCAGAAGTTTACGTGCCACATCACGTGCATCACGGGGACCTCGCCCTCGATGCCTCGGCCCTTGGCCGAGCATGACACGCATGACATGCAGCGACTGCTTTAATACTCAAGCAGCGCTCAGTGGCTTACGTGCCACTTCATGTGCATCACGGGGGGCTTACCCTCAATGCCTCGGCCCTTGGCCAACCATGTCACGCGTGACATGCAGCGACTACTCCGAAACTTGAGCAGCGCTCAGTGGGTTATGTGCCACTCCACGATCAGCTCGCGAGCCACGCTCAAGTCTCCTGTCCGATACAACGTTGATGACTACCAACTCGGACATTCCAATGTCCAGCACGTTGATCGTCTAGGTCCAGTGCCCTCGCCAATAGCACTTTTGTCTCCTGGCAGAGGTGGGTTCACAACTCGCCAAAGCTCCACCGGGAGACGTGCGCGTAGGACCCAAGGTCTTTGACCTCTAATCAATCCATGGCTCATGGTGCTTCAACCATGCCATTCCTAAGATGAGGTCACACCTTGCATCCAAGTAAGACTAGACAGCGTTTCACGCTATCAAAGTCAAGGAACTTGACTCCGAAGTCCACAGGAACCTTCGGGACAGTGACACGTGTCCCCGTCGCTAGGCGAACAGTGACGATGTCACCCAACCGCGCTGTCAGCGTTTCAGCATACAGCTGACTTCCTTCCACCGTGGAGCGTCGAGAATAGTTGTCCGACGCCAAG